GGGCGGGAGCAACATGTTCCAGCCAAACGGGTGGGAGGGGGATGAAGCGTGTCCTGGCCCGCGACAGCAACCCCCTGGCATGGTTTTGGAGCCTCCCTCCTGCAGCGGCTCCGTGCTGCTCCCCACCCCGGCCAGGAATCCTGTGCCGGCTCTGCCGGGATGGTTCCAGGAAAGGGAAAAGCTGCTGCAAACCCCTGTGCTGGAGCATGGGCCCCTCCGTGACAGCAGAGCTGGTGAACACGCTCCATCACTGCTGAAAAATGCCACATTTGGGGGACAACATCTGCTCTGCGAACCGCAGCCAAAGCAACCTGGGTGACTCAGGGCTGGCGGGGCCGGGCGGGCTCGGCAGGACCCGGCGCTGCAGCCCAGGGCTTTGAAGATGATGAAAGGCTCACACGCTTGTTTTCCTGAACCAAGGTTTCCTCGGGCCTTCACAGCACAAGCAGTGCAACCAGCTTGTCATCTGCAACCACATCTGGCAGCACCCTGAGCCACAGCAGCGTGCCAGGGCCCAGCTCCATGCCATGTGGGGCTTGGCCACCCTCCTCCTCCCCACACCTGAGCTGGGCTGTGGGGCCGGGTTCAGCCCTGGGTGAAACTGCTTGAGCTCTGCAATAGTTGCCGAGAGGACAGTCAGGTTTATTTTGCAAGAGCACTTGTATAAAACTACACCCTGAAGGCATGCCAGCAGCCAAGGGCAGCATCTGCACGGGAAAACAGAGAAATACTACGGGACCAACTTGGCTCTGCTCACAGCCAGAGGAAAAGTCTGCAAAGAGTAAACATCACGGTTCGGAGCCAAGGTGCAGCCAGCATGCAGTCAAGTATAAGTGCTGTAAGCAGCAACCACCAGTGAGCAGAAGATCCCAGCCTCAGCCCAACATCCTGTTATTTGGTCTCAGAGAGCAGATCCAAGGGCTAGATTAGGGCTGTGGTCCTTCGGTGCAGTGCTGGGGAGGAGCAGTAGCCCAGCCACTCCTCTGACAGCACCTCAGGGCACAGCACAGTTCCCCTAATTCCTGAGTCAGATATCTCCCTCCCTAATTAAGGCTTGGAAGAGAGCCATCCTTTCATGTATACCCCACGTATCTTCTTTTTCTTTCCCTTCATGTAGTGAAATTTGCTTTGATCCCAGTGTGAAGCAGGCAGCTCCAGGGGTTGGTCATGGCTGTTCCATCCCAGCAGGCGTCTGCCCCAGCTGCTTTGGGCATAGGGGTCCTGTGCCCAGCAGGACATGTGGATGCTGCTGCCCGCTGTCCTCAGGCCCCAGAAGAGCTTCTCAGGAAGATGAGACTCACGCTGGGAGATGGCCAAGCCAGAGGAAGAACTGTGCAGAGGCTGTCTCTTGCCTTTCCCCACCACCTGTGGTGACAGCCAGGTCCATCCCATGTAGTTCCTCCTTTCATGCAGACGTGGCTGATGGGCCCAGCAGCTGGGTACCTGCCTGGGGCCCAGCACTGGTCCCCCCTTCTCCAGCACTTGCTCCTGCTGCTCCTGCTCTGACCCTGCAGCCTGAGGCCAGAGCCCAGAGGGCTGCAGGGCAGCTTGACCACACTGGGGGCACCCAGCCCCACTACCCCCAGTCACCTTGATTCCCAGAGTCCCCCACAGAGCAGACGGGGCCACCTTCTGCATGGCCACAGCCATGGGGCCTGAAATCACTGTAACCCCGGGTCGTGTTCCCCTTTCAGACATGGATACTGCTGAAACAGAGAAGTCCCCACCTCGGGGTCACTGGCTCTGGAGCCTCACTGAGGGATGCTGAGAGCATTGCTTTGCTGAGGAACTGTAAAACCTGGAAAGGTTTCAAGAGCTTCACGCTGGGGTGCTGTTTTTCTGCAGGGAGGAAGGTCATTTCACAGAAGAGGGACTGCAGTCAGTGCCCCAGCAAGGACCTGGAGGAAGCTGCACTGCAGGGGCTGGGGATGGAGCCTGAAGGGATTCCAGACGTGGTTTTATTTCGCAACAGGCTCCGTGGATGCCTGCCATGAGCAGTGTTACTCCTCTGCAACCCCAGGGTGCACAGGCAGCCCGAGCACACCATGGCTGTGCCAGTGTGTGGTGAACTGCTGTGGCAGGTGGGCACGGAACCAAAACGTCGGCTCAGGCCACCGGACCTGTCCCTGCTGCTCCCAGCCCTCCATCCTCACCCCCAAACTGCAGTTTCACCTGGTATGTGCTTGGGGAGAGCAGGGAAGGGCCCTGGCTGCCAGCATTCATGGATATCGCCCTCCCTTGCTTCCCACCAGCCCATCCCA